AGACGTGTGCTCTTCCGAACGCTGAGAGTTCAGTTAACTATACAAGTCACTTCCAAAGTATTTTAGTTTCTATAACCCATTTAAATTGATGAGTGAAAATTATCACAATTATCATGTTGTGGCAACGGTAATTTTTTTCCGTGCATCTGTCGTTCTATTATATTCTAAACTTTAGCATTATGATTTTTTTTACTTCAAACACGTAGAATACTTCTCGTTTGATTCATTAATAGATTACATATTAATTTAAATTATATATTAATTTTAATAATACAAAGGTATAATTAATAAATATAACCAATAACATTATTAAAAATGCAAGAAAGAATATTATAAAGAACTAAATATTAATATATCTAAGCGATAATTAGTCTATGATTAACATATGTTTGTTGTGACTGACGTTAGTAAAATGTTTGTGCTTTGAAAAGTATCTTGCTACGGTTGCATTTATCAATAATCTGTTTTCTTAATAAGATTCCTATAATATCATTTCCTCGTATTCTCTTATCTATATGCAAGTATACTTTTGAAAAATAAACGTCGGAGTCCTTCACCTCGATAGACGCACGTACTTACGACATACTTATCGCAATTAATTCACACATTTAAGAAATAAAAAGGAAATAGAAATATATATGTATTTATACATAAAAGAAATATAGTTTGCGATAAGTTTACTCAATTAATAAATTATAATTTAAGATAAATTATTTATAGATAAATTCTTTACATTAAAAAGACTGCTTTATTGTGCAACGCACTGTGCGAGATACTATCTTCACGTTTATTTGCGCAAAACAGTCAGTTTGCGCGGATTAAAGTGCAAAGTATATGTTATTTCTCTTTGAAATTAATTTAATATTCGTGTAAAGAAGAAAAGTAGGCCTGAAAGTGCGACGTCGAGGAATGCTGCCCTAGCGATTTACAAAAAAAAAAAAAGACGTGAGTCTGTGAAAAATGACATGGACATTCGTTTCCTCTTTCAAACGATGCGTGGGATAAACGGCGAGCTGCCAGAGATTGTAACGTAAGCCTATGGAAATACGATAGCTGCACCAGCCTGGCGTGTGTCTGCATGAAATTGTTACCTACCCTTGCATTTTGTCCGACCACACAGCGTTGGGTCCTTGGTACTTTCTGTGGAGACAAAAAAATCGTAAAAAAATATTACGCACATGTGAAGCATCTGGCGCATAAATTAACACCGTATTACTTTGTATAGATATTAAATATCTTCTGTTTTACATATACTATTTAAAAAATATCGTGTCATGTTCATATCGACGTGATATTTTTTAAGAGGCTGGACGATATAAATATTATATCATTATTAAAAAATTTTAAATTCTTCAATAAATAGATTTCGATAATAATAAATAAATTTGAATAGCGTATCTTTAAAAATTGAATCATCTGTTTAAAGAACACGTTGTTAAATAATTTTCATACGCATACACATTTCTAGATTATTAACGCTAGAACCGCGGATGGATTATTCATGACCTATCTTACTCTTTTGTGATTATTTGATAGATAGACAAAGTGATGGATAAATTAAATAATACATTTTCATTAATACTAATAATTCAATTTACGCATAGCTATATAGTCAACAATAATAGGAAAGAAAAATTGCAGATAGGACAAAAATGGCACAGCCGCGGTTCTAATCATCACAATATTAAAATACGTTCTTCATTTTTCGATTAACGTCGCTCAACAGCAAGGAGTTTTACGCGTCTAATGTGATTAGAGTTACGTCATTTGCGATAAATTGGCTAAACTAGTTAATAAATTATTACTTGAGATAAATTCTTTACATGAGAAAAAGATTGCTTTGTGCAACGCAATATGAGATCGTTTTTTCCTGACGGGTCCGATGAAAGCCGCGATGGTGTGTATCCCATCGGAAAGTGCGGTAACGATTACACTACAAATTAATGAGACACCGGACGCCGCAATAAATATGCAATATACACACCGTAATACGTTCGTACCGGAAATTGCCGATAATTACCTCCTCGCACGGCAGTTACCGCGCACGCGAGCGCAAGAAGTAGTATTGCCTTGGCAGTCATGGTTTCCGGGGCGAGGAGGGGGGAGGCAACCCTTATCGCTTTCCGAATTTCGCGGAACCCTCCGAGATCAAGATGCTCCTACCGCGCGGTCTTCATCCCTCGACGCGGATCCGTCGAAACGTGCAGTCTCGTAATTTTACCGATCGAATTCCGCCGATGATCCGCAAATGATCCTGACGATACCCAAAGAGTCACCAGCTCGGAAAGCGGAACTGTCGCGATATAAACTGGTTCCCACACCAACTCACTGGTATTCCTCTTATTAATTCTCCTTCTCCCTTCCTCCTCTCGCCCACTTTCGATCACTTGAAAAGTAATCACACTCGGGAGAGATCTTGAAAAATCACCCGGGAGAGATGTATCTGTCCGAGATCTGCCGTTGCCGCGCTGGTGTGGCTGGACTCTTTCTCCGGCGGCGAAAATACCAGCGATAACCACCCGGGGGCGATAAACCGGGGTGCGGATCGGCGGCTTGATTGGTGGCGAAGATGCGAGGTGGAGAGAGAGTGAAAGAGAGAGAAGCGGCGTGTGCGGCGTCCACTGCGTACGACTAAATAAGTATTTCCGTTGCTGGCCGACCGACGAATGGCCGAACGACGAGGGAGAGGATCGGATGTTAAAGGTCTCCCGATGCTTTTCTCTGTTTGCGCAGGGATCGGAGGTCAGTCGGTCCGATAAGATATGCTGTCCACGACGAAATCCTAGGAAGCATACCGAGCATATACGTCTCTCGTATACGTATAAGCAGTGTTGTAACAGGTACCTGTTAAAAGATATCTAGTTATAGATGCAGGTTCTTTATGTAAAAAATATTTAATTACAGATATATATACATTTTTAAAAAATTATCTGAAGATAGATACAGGTACAGTATAAAAGTACCCGAAAAATTTAGTTATTTTTAAAAAAAGGTACCTCTTAAAAAAAGAAAATAACCGCACAAAAGAATTTTATTTCAAGTTACTACTTAAGCAGTACTTATAAAAATGTATTATTTATAAAATAAAATCTTTGGATAATTGCCATGTTTCTTTTAAAATTAACACTGTTTCAAATATAAAATAAAATAGCTTACAATTAGATTGATGCGAATCGGATCAATAAATGTTTTGACACAGTAATCGATAATTTTTTTGTTTCAATTAATGAACTGTTTTATCATGCTAGTTTAACTAGCAGGTAAAAAAACACGACAATTATCCAAACATATATGTTATAAATTTTTATAAGTACTACATAATAAGATAGACCAAGGCGAATCGGATCAATATAAGTTTTGAAACAATTATCGATAATTTTTCTGTTTCAAATGAGCTGCTTTATTATGCTAGTTAATAACTGTAATGTTTTTTTTTAATTAATAGTGTTTCAAACATTATGTCAGAAAGTCAATTTCGGGGAGGAAGGGGTTAAAAGTTGACCACCTGTAAGGAGTCTTTTAACGGGTGCCGAGGATGGCAGAAATCTCGTGATAATAATCATAAAATTGTAAACATTATCACGAGAGATAAGATATACATATAACAATCAAAAATTTATAACAAAATTTAAAATGATAATACAATATAATAAAAAATTTATAATAATAATAGTAATAGTAATGACATAATGTATAGATGGAATATAGTACTTTATATATATCAAAAGTTACAAGGTGTCCTACAAAAAGTACCCAGCTACAGGTATTACAGCTCTGCCTATAAAAACCTAGATAAGACGTGTTTATTACAGTCTAGTTACAGTACTTAGGTACTTATATCTAAGTATGCAGTTACAACACTGCGTATAAGAGAATGCAGAATAGCATCAATGAAATTGATTTCGCTTAGCTCGATTGAAAAGGGAAGGAATGTTATCTTTACCTCGGCGTGTTCTTGAATTACGTTCGCACGCGTCAAACGCTCCCGCCGAATTTATAATTGCTTCAAAAAGAAAGACGCAATCGAACGAAAACACGGGTTCAAAATAAATCAATATATTCAATTTTATTAAACAATTGTAAAATACGCTAAGAAATAAGATCGTGTTTTACTTTTCTTTTGATGTTCAAAATCGATCATTCAGTTTGTTTTTTTTTACATTAAAGATATTTTTTCTCTCCTTATTTCAACGCTACGCGGAAATAATTGGATCTATATTAAATTTGCATGCAATAATTTATCCAAGTATCGGTGCCAACGCAAACGATCTTTTTTTTATTTTGACAAATTATACGTGAGAAATGAATAACGATACTTGCAGAGTGTCGAAGGATTTAAAATTTTAAAAATGATCATTGCTCTTGGATACCAACCTAAACTATTAAATACGGCTGACGAAAGGCGAAATTTTGTGATCAAGTGGGCCTAGTAGAATAATTGTAGAACAATATTACCAACCATATTGGCTCCACCGAGGATAACAAATGCGTTCATTTTACATTATTTTATTATATTGGCCAAATCATTGTTTTATTATCATCAGTATAAAAAGTAATTCTTTAATTAAGATTTAATTGATGATAAACTTATTAGGTAATATATTTGTTACCCATCAAGCTGACGTTATTTATCATCATTTTGACGTGTCAATGATGTGTCGTTTTAACACGTCAAAACGACGATAAATAATGTAGCTTGTATGCTATCTGAGTAACAAATATATCACTTGATAATTTAATGAATTAAATTTTTTTCTGTGCTATCTAGGTCATTAAATTTAAGTATAGTCTTTTTTCTGATTTTAATTTCTCAGGAATTCATAGAAGAATACAATAAGACTATCTCAAATAGTTAAATGATTTTTCATAATTTTTGAGAGTGTTAATTGAAGCATAATTCATATAAGTTCATCGAAGTATACCAACAAATCAGAGTTGGATAAATTAATATTCTTTTTTAATTAAAGTAAAGTTAATGACTTATAAAATTAATTTAGTTAAATTAAAAGTTGCGTTAAAATTAAATTAAGTAAATTTAAATTAAAAGTTATTTCAAAAAGCATTATTTATATTAAATTAGTTATAAAATTATTATCGCTTGTATGTATAAAACAATGAAATTAAAAAAAAGTTAGGCCAATAAATGAGCAAACTTTTTTGGTTGATTAATTAATACAAAAAATATTTTAATAATTAAAGAATTGATGGTATCCTTACATGTTCCGTCGTTTATCTCATCTGAACACGCATGGATACGTACATGTGGTATTTATACAATGTATTATTAAATGACGATTTATGATAGTCAAGTTTATATAGAACTGCAACAAACGTAAGAATACATCTGCGCCGATAATGTCAATTTTAATTATGAAAATTAATTAATTATGTAAATGTAAATTTGTATGATGGCTGATGATGGCTATAAGTAAGTCGAAACGTTCCATCAATTCTTTAATTATTAAAATATTTTTTGTATTAATTATTCAACCAGAAAAAGTTAGCTCGTTTATTGGCCTAACTCTTTTTCTATTTTATTATATTAAATTAAAATGTCATAATTTTTTAAAATTAGAATACTCTAAATGAAAAACAATTACAATATAAATTATCATTATAATTAATATTTTATTTGTAAATTAAGTTTACATGAAATAACGAAGATAGATTATTTTTATATGAAAATGTTTTTTTTTAAATAGGTAAATTTTTAATTTAGGAAAAAAATTAATAAGTTGAGGTTTATATGTTTAAAAATAAACTAATTAAAGTTATCTCGTTAAAATATAACAAAGTTAAGTTAAAAGATATTAACTTTTTAACTTCTATTCTTACGCTACTTTTCTATTATAGTTATATATGCCGAGAATTAAAAACAATTGTATAGAAATATAGAAGCTGCTTAATTGTTGATAATCTAGCTAGGATGATAATCGGAGTAATTATTAAAAGTAGTGAAACACTTGTGGTTAAGTATGCTAAATAATAGAAGTGAGAATTTAGGATCTTGAATTGTCAAATCTCGATTGGTTCTGTAATTTTTTTCGTATCCTACACAAGAGATGCAAAAAAAGGCTCGAAGATCGGCTCCGTAATTTTTTCCGTCTCCTACACAAGAGGTGCAAAAAAGGGGAAAAAAACTCCTGAAACGTACAACAAATATGTACATATAACCATTTCAAAATCAATGAGAAACGTGCAACCAATTAAGAGTAATGTCCAATAAACGCTCGGAATCAAATCTAATATGACTCCCGAGAGGACAATTAGACAATTAGGACCTGCAGCGACATGTATATTGCTTACAAAGAACAATAGATACCTACAAAACCACATTAGAAAATATTTAATGCAGGGATCGGGTTTGAACCAGATCGATGGTGGGCAACATACCACTAAGGATGACAGGCATTCACGTGGGACCGAGCTTTCTTCCCCGAATATCGAGATTATTTTTCGGCATTTCACCGAAATATTCCAATCGATAAACTTTATTTTCATAAATTATTAATAAAAATAATATTAAAAAAATCGATCTACAGAACAAATATAAGATATATAAACATGTATTTTAACTATTAAAATTAATATCAAATTTAAAATAAAAATTCTAAATATTAATCGTTTGAATACTATATAACACTTCCGTAAAGCAATAACTTAATTTTCTGACAAATTATTATTTTTTCGTTGATATTGGTTTTATTTTAAAGAAATTACGTAAAATAAGCTAGCATATATAAGAACTTCTAAACGCGTCTAGTGCAGACGTTTTCGATTTGTTGACTCGATCCGACTCCGAGTCGGTGGTCTGTTCTTTTTAGCTATAAAAAAATAGTTAAAGTGTACAAGAAAAAAGAACAGACTATTTTGACTCGGAGTCGGCTCGAGTCAACAAATCGAAAATGCTATAATTGCAAGACTACTTTACAGTGCGTCCAAATCGAATTCTCTATTACATACTGTGCCAGAGCCGCCATTTCTACCTCGCATGCGCGAGACTCTCGCGGCGAGACTGGCGAGAGAGTCGCGACAAGCGCCGGCAGCGCCGACAGCGGCGACAGTTTGCATATGGCGGGCGGCGTCATGCGATTAGTGTTTATTGTTACCCGAGCGAGATCCTGTTCGCGGATGCCGTCGCCGGCGAATTTCGCGTAAGGCAGAGTCGTTGTCGCGGTGCCGATGGTGATCGACGATCGACGGCGGCCGGTCGAGCGCGGCCCGCTGCGCTGCATGGCGCCGGAGGTCTCGACCGGCTTCGGCGAGCGCATTGAGGTTAGCTTTTTGAATTTGCGTCCGTTGCGCCGTCGTCGCCCCGTAGCGACGCGTGCAACACACACACCACACACACACACACACACGTGCGCGCGCTGGCATGTTTATATTTTTTTCAGGAATACGATGTGCTGAGTTCATTGGGCAAGGGTGGCTACGGATGCGTCTACCGGGCGATATGTCTCCGCAGCAAGACAGAAGTTGCGATCAAAATGGTGATTTCCCTGTCTGCCTTTCTCCCTCGGGATTTCTCCCTCGACAAGACGCCTGTTGCTCCAGTTGCACTTATTGCGCTGCGAGCTCCGGAGTATTTACTTTAAGTTTTAACTTTAGAACGCGTACATAAAGCTCGCCGATCTCGACAGGATTTGAAGTATTGGGCAAAGGGAAATTGGGCCAATGTCAATTCTTGAGATCAGCAACACCTTGCTTGAGTTCGCATTCAATGAATTATACAGACTCGAAATTTATTGCAAAGCTCTCTCTTTCTCTTTCCTTGTTTTAAAATAAAAACAGATCCGTGTATCTATCGCATTTTCTTTACTTACTATTCATTCCTGTAGATCAACAAGAAAATGATGCAGGCTGCTGGAATGATAGATAGAGTTAGGCAGGAAGTAATGATACATATGCAACTGAAAGATCCAGCTATCCTGGAGATGTACACAGGTTTTGAGGATGCAAATTACGTGTACCTGGTTTTGGAATTATGTCACAACGGGGAGCTTCAGGGTTATCTCAAAGGCAAAACTCTATCCGAGGAAAAAGTACATTCATATACACGAGAAATCATGATTATAAATTCCCAGTCACAGTCATTGTAACACAATTTTGCTGTTTTTAGCTGCCGACATAATCAGACAGGTAGTAGATGGCTTGCTTTATCTCCATACCAACCAAATACTTCACAGAGATTTGTCACTGTCCAATCTACTTTTGACCAAAAATATGCAGGTGGTATGTAGAAAAAATAAAAATATGCAGATTTTTTTAAATAAGATAATAGATGTCTTTTCTTATATTTTAACCAATTTGATATTATTTTAAATAAAGATGCATTTCTTTTTTTTTTAATAAAATCTATCGAATGACAACAAAAAATATAGTGTCTTTTTTTTGTTAAATTTTTCTTAAAAATTCTGAAGATGTGAGGTCAAATAGTCCTTTATTTTAACATTGAATTTTTTAATCTTCTGAATCCATATCTATTAGTTTTTTCTTTATTTAATTTTTTTAAATTTAATTCCTTGTACTTGCAGAAAATAGCGGATTTCGGATTGGCCACGCAATTGAAGAAACCAGACGAAAGGCACTTCACAATGTGCGGCACGCCGAACTACATCTCGCCCGAAGTGAGTATCTTCCAAAAGCCGCTGTACAGATTGTGGATATTAGGATCGTGATCACACTTCCAAAATCTTCAGATTGCCATGAGATCTATGCATGGACCGGAGGCAGATGTATGGAGCTTGGGATGTATGTTGTACACCTTGTTGGTGGGCAAGCCACCGTTTGAGACCGAGGCGATTAGGAGCACCCTAACCCGCGTGGTCATGGCCGACTACGTGATGCCGCCTCATCTGTCGGACAATGCGAGGGATCTCATAGACAAGTTGCTGAAGAAGAATCCGAAAGACAGGATACGCCTGCCAATGATTAAAAAGCATGCCTTTATGACGTATACAGAAAAGAGGCATAACGTAAGTAGTAGAGCATCAAGTGCAATTTAAATATATTAAGGGGTCTCACCACCCCTGAGGCCTTAAGATGATACCTAAGTTTGGGATTTTTTTGTGGGTAGATAACTTTATTTAAAAGCTGTTTAGAGAACATTGTTGTACATATATAAGAAGCTAAAAAAATATTTTATTATTTTTTTGTGTACAAAATGGCGGCGCAATGGCTTACTTACGGAATCCCATTTTTCTGTTTTCTCAAATTGGTGTACAGGATTCCAGACACACAGTTTCATCTTGAACAAAACAGAGAATTTTCATTATCTACATATTAAAGACTATAGAAGTACGTAGGGGTAGTATTTTTTAAAATATTGATTTTTCTCGAAATGGCAGCTATTTTTACGAAAAGTTCGTATTTTTGTCAATACAAGTTTTTCGTAAAACAGCTGCCATTTTGAGAAAAATCAATATTTTGAAAAATCCCTACGTACTTTTCTAATCTTTAATATGTAGATAATGAAAATTCTTTATATTTTGTTCAAGGCCAAACCGTATGCCTGGAATCCTGTACGCCGATAGAAAAAAAGGGATGCCGTAAGTGTAGGCCAGTGCGCCGTCATTTTGGACATAAGAAAGTTAAAAAAATATTTTTTTGGTTTCTTATATATGTACAATAACGTCCTCTAAGCAGATCTTAAATAAAATTATCCATTTACCCACAAAAAATCATAAACTTAAGGTATTTTAAAACCTCAGGAGTGATGAGACCTCTTAATCATTGATAGTGAAGAAAATGCCACTGAATTGAATCCACAAATTGTTGCGTTGTAACGTTCTGTTTCACGTTCTGTTTATTCAGGAAAGGAACAAAAATCTGTTGTCCGATGGCATGATGGATTCCGGGATTGGTAGAACATTTTCGTCGGATAACAGTCGGCCGCAAATGCGAACCCGATCAGAGGAGAGGATGTCCTCGATGCCGATGGTCAGTGTGAGAAGCGAGCCGCTATCCGAGCCTATTGCGAAAATGCACTCGAATCACGGGGCGAGATACGCCAATTACCGCCCGAAGGAGAACTCTTTGATGAGCGTGCCGATGCATCGCAATAGAGTACAAAGCGAGCAGCAGTACGGCAATCGCAATGCCTGCAACGCCTACAACGAGTCCGAGAGACCGAGGATAATGGAGAGGAAGCCGAGGAAGGAGAACATCGTGGAGAACACGCCACATCGTGGCGTGGAGGAAACTGAGAAGAGCACGAAGTTACAAGTCGAGCCGTTAAATTCCACCAGGTTGCTGCCTACTAGGCACAGAAACAAGGGCACGATTCTCACCATTCTCGACAACGGAGAAGTGTGCCTCGAGTTTATCAAGCGCAGAAACGGCATGGTATGTAGAGCAGAGCAATACAAAGCTCGCAATATAAATAAAATTATCGCGTTATTCTAAAAAAAAAAAAATTGTGCATTGTACTTGAAAAATACAAGAACGTAAAAATATCCAACATTTTTTTTTTATACCGTAGGAAAAGATAAGCGAAGTGTGCAGAATATCAGGCGACGGTCTGCGAATCGTTCTCTACAAACCGGACCCGATTGCGGAGATTGGTTCGCAACCGCTACCGTTGCCTACTCGGGGCGCCGATAATATTTATTCACACGAGAATCTGCCGACGTGCCATCATCGGAAGTATCTTTACGCCCATCGTTTCGTGAAACTGGTTCAAGCAAAAACCCCAAAGATAACGCTGTACACTCAACGAGCAAAGTGCCTGTTCATGGAAAACGGTCTGGAGCCTGACTGCGAAGTGACCTTTTACAACGGAATAAAGGTATGCAGCGATGTCGATTCAGTCGTTTTATATATTACATGTAGTGTTAAAATAAAAGCTACGGTCGCGTGTATGACAAAAAATAATATCAGGCTGCAAAAGTCGATATGATTCGCATACGTTGACTTTTGACGTTATAATTCCATTACATTTAGGGGGTTATGCCACCTCTGAGGCTTCAAAATGATACCTAAGTTTGGAATTTTTTGTGAGTAAATATAGATAATTTTATTTAAAAGCTGTTTAGAAGACATTGTTGTACATATATAAGAAACTAAAAAAAATATTTTGTTATTTTTTTCTTGTTCGATATTTACCCACAAAAAAATCTAAACTTAGGTATCATTTTAAGGCATCAGTAGTGGCATAACCACCTAAATGTTATTGAATTATAACGTCATATAAATTGAATTTTGTACATATTTTGTACATATAAATTGAATTATATATACAAAATGACGGCGCACTGGCCTACTTGCGGAAACCCTTTTTTTTATTTTTTCAAATCAGTGTACAGGGTTCCAGGCACACGGTTTGATCTTGAACAAAACACAAAGAATTTTCATTATCTACATATTAAAGAAGAACTATAGAAGTACATAGGGGTTTTTTAAAATATTGATTTTGCTCGAAATGGCAGCTATTTTTACGAAAAGTTCGTATTTTTGTCAATATAAGTCTTTCGTAAAATATCTGCCATTTTGAGAAAAATTAATATTTTGAAAAATCCCTACGTACTTTTCTAGTCTTTAATATGTAAATAATAAAAATTCTTTGTGTTCAAGGTCAAGTCGCGTGCCTGAAATCCTGTACACCGACAGAAAAAAAGGGAATTTGCAGGTGTAGGCCAGTACGCTGCCATTTTGGACATAAGAAAAATAAAAAAAATCTTTTTTTTTGTTTCTTACATATGTACAGTCGTGGACAGATTGACGGTTGCGACACTTTTTTTATAGGTTTCTGATATACATATATTTAATATACATAATATATGTTTTATAGGTAACTAATATTTTGCAAACGTTAACCACAATGTACTATCTTTAGTCTAGAGACAGTATAACACCAATCGTGGTTCATTTACAAAATATTAATTTGAAACCTATAAAAAAAAAAGTGCCGTATTCAATCTGTCCACGACTGTGCAATAATGCCCTCTATGCAGATTTTTAAAAAAGTTGTCCATTTACCCACAAAAAAATCCCAAGCTTAAGATATCATTTTAAGAATCTCAGGGATGGCACGACCCCTTAATATTTAAATTTTCCCTGTTAACATTCGTATTTTATATTCAGCTCTTATGTTTCAGATTGTCCAGGAGAACAGTGTCGTGAAGATCACCGACAATAGCGGCGAAAAGTTTGTCGAGGCTGCAGCCCCGTCGCATCTCGAAAATTACTGCGCGCATTACTCGGAATGTTACAAGCATTGCCAGCTAGTGGAATCCAGTCTGGCATCTCTGGAGAGAATCACCGGAGACCCCTGCTTTCCCGTGATAGTCGGACGACGGCCTAACACGGCCTTGAGTGACGCTCCCTATCAGGGGAAAGAAAACGTCTCGCCTATGACAACAAACGGTTTCCCGATTGTAAGTAGCGGAGAGGACGCTTTAATTATTTCAACTTTTTACTGAATTAACTCTATTGAATCTCTTTCAGTTGCCGTCGTTCGACTACTCCATCATCTCGACGATGACTTCCAGATCGCGCAAGAATTCCACGCACAATTCTAACAGTAATATGCACAAGATACCGGTGCCGGGAATCGACTTTGTCACCAAATTGTTATCTGGCGATATTAGAGTTGACTACATGGATGGATCCTCCGTGACTGTAAGTTACTGCCTGAATATAATTTAATTGTGATATTACTATTCAGTGTTCGGAGCTGTGTTTTTTAAAGACCGACGTTTATGTGGGGCGCACAGTTTACTTGAATTGAAAATTGTTAGATTCGCATATATAAATATTGTCAAGCATCACTTTGTAGCGCGTTGACGTTTTCTCATCTTAATTGTGTAAAACATTCCACGGTCGAGTCAAATACTTGATTATTAAATATAAATTTACGAATTTATTTTAATCGGTTATTACAACACGCATTGCAGTAACTTGATGGATAGATCATTGACGATAGATTATTAATCGACATCGAGTCACTCATATTTTACCGACAATTTCGTGTTGCAGGTAAGTCCCAACGGCAACATACAAGATTACAGGAGTAGCGACGGCAAAGTTATACACATCAAGCAGAAGAACTTGCAGAAATCGATCCAGGACAAGCTCCGACTATTGCCAAGGATTTTCGAGTATCTCAATGAATCTGAGAAGCAACCGAAGCACAGAGGCATTCGATAGCTCCGCATGAGAATATAAAATATTTTGTACAGTACAAGAAGAAATCACCTTTCCGCCCGTGGACCGTAAGCTTGCTATAGATTTATAAATTGGCGTAAATTTATAGATACAGCTTATACAAAGCTAAACGCGGCCTTAAGTACGAATATTTTCTAAGTATACAATGATAAGAAATAAAGTAATATTTTTATATTTGATATGCTCGATTCGAGTTATACTATTGCAATTGTATAAGGCAAGAAAAAAAAAAGAAAAAATGGGGAAAACACGTTAAATGATGAAAAAAAAACAAGGGAAACAATATATCTTTGAAAGTTCGATATTTATTTTTATAGATATAGAAGACAAGATGCAATTGTCATTACATAGGAAAATTTGAGAATACTTATAAAGAGTGGAATAAAATTGAGAATTTTACCGTTATTTTGCACGTTATCCTTTACACGCAATACGTGTAAAGGAACATTCTGCGAAATCCGGTATCTACCGCCCCTCAAAGTGACGAACTATGCAGGTATATTTATTATATTATTAATAGAAGATATATTTTTTAAGTGGGAAAAACGAATGTAATAAATCAGATATAACCACACGCGAGAGCGGTTCTCCAATTTTCACAGAAATGTTTACAGGCTCCTTCCTCCCACATCCTCCTTGCAATCCTTTCGCCTTTGTGAAATTCAATTTCGTGCGACGCGAAATTGTTATAATCGATTGCAAAAGCCTCTCGGCGCGTTTTGCCGCGGACTCCTCGATCGAATCGGGGTCACAGCCGGTCATCGTCTCTCCCGCCGCGCCGCGCCGAGCCGAGCCCACCGCTCCATTGAAGGGAAGCGGCGACGGGGGCGCTTACTACGGCGCGCCCTACGATTCGCCGCCGCGGGAGAGCAACGATCCCATTCACCGCACGGAACGCGTAACGGACGCGCTCGGTGACGCCGCCATGTTGAGTCGCCTCTGGCCGGAGTAAGAGAGATACCCCGTGGAAGTCGTGAGCTCCGCGAGAAATCCGACACGCGCGCTCACGTGGCACAAAGATTGATAAGATCGTCGAGAGGAGAATTCGTAGAGAGAACGTCCGCGGTGCCCGTTCGCTAGGTGCTCGATCGCCGGACCGTCCGTCGACGACGCGCCGCGTCTCTCCCGGAGTGCTTCTGACAGATGGTAAACAAGCGAGCAACGCGATAGTGTTCTGTGTCCCCCCAAGTTCTGTGAACCGAACGAAGGATCGAGGTATACCGGAAATCCAGAGGCGCAAAGAAGAAGGTATATCCTGTATAAGCATTTAAGAGAAGACCAGCGGATGTTGAGGAGTTCATCGCGAATTTCCCCGACTTGATCCGTCCTCTTTTTCTCACTCGCGTCCAGCAGCGAGAATTGCGACCGTGAGTGGGATATGTCCTTCGCTGCCGCGGCCGTGGGACGTACGTGCGATCGCACCGCGATAATTGCCGAGAAACGGCCGCTGTAAATCATCGCGGATTCCACGCGACGTGCACGGGCGCTGCCCATCCTGCTGCCTGCTTCTCCTCGCTAACCTCAAGCGGACGACGCGTGCTGTGAAAATGGGTAAGTCGCGTCACGTTCGCTTCCGCCTCTCGGAGGAGCGAGAATCTCTCGCTTTTTTCGTTGTAGATCGACGCGATCGCGTGACTCGCGTCAGCGACGCCCACCCGTGTTTGGCATCGACGGTGGTGGGCGTCATAACAAACAACGGCTGCATCCATACGGTTGTAAACATTGGCGCTACTTCAGGTCCGCCCGCGTTCGCCGATAAGCTGATTAATTGACAAACGCTTGATTCTGACGCGACGTTGAACTACAGTTGAACCCAGCGTGAACCCGAAACTCCGAAGGAAGCGCTCGTTAAAGGCCTCGTTAAGAAACGGGGCGTTCGCGCGCGAGCGACGTCGCGGGGTCGTCGCGATGTCGACAATAATGAATAATGTCACGCGCCAATTCTTTCCGTCGAAGAAACGTCCTCAGCAGGTTCGCGACACCGTCGAGTTTGTGAATGAACTAGCGTCTCATTAGCGAGTGCATACATATACAACTTGGACACATGTCGCGCGTGTTATCTGACTGGACTGCTAGATAAGTGATTAGTCATCGTCGTGGTAGTAACGTCGGTTTAGTCATTGGTCGAACGCGCCCAGCTTTCGACCACCACGCGACCTCCTCCTCGTTTAATTTTGTTCACCTTGTCAGAACGTTTTTGTTGTTACTCCCGCAATTGTGTTGAAAAAAATGACGAGGCTACGCGAGATACGTCGGGCCAGGGAGAGTCTGCCGCTGCGCGGCAACCTTGGGAGTAACGCTAGTCTGGATAGGTTCTCCGAGCGTAGTCTACACGGTCTAGATTCGAAGGAACGAAGTTGCAGTAAGTGCCCGAGAATGCCATTGGAATGTGACGATAAATGGTACAAACATTCGTCTTGTAAAATGTGAACGCGATAAAAATCGGACCATACTTCTCGTACAATGAATTCTACATTCTATTTATCTCAACGTATAATATTATCTCTCTCATCGTCAATTTATCTTACGGTTTACATACATCTGTATGTAAAATTTACTTGTGATACTACGCTATATTATTATTATTATATCTAGATTTTAATCATAATGAGATTTAACTGTGATTAACTAAACCCTAAATTTTCTGTAGTGATTTTTCACTTTTTTGGAGTAAATCTCACTCCAAAAGATTGAAAATACTGCGACTCGACCACACTTGAAATGTGAGATTCACTCCAAAAGAGTGAAAAGTCACTCCAGAAAATTTAGAGAGTTTAGTTCAAGTTAATCGCATTATAATTAAAATCTAGATATAATAATAATAATAATATAGTGTCACAAGTAAATTTTACATATAGATATATAGAGACACTCAAGTGGTCGAGTGGCAGTATTTTCAATCTCTTGGAGTGAGATTCCACTCCAGAAAGTTTAGAGAGAATGTAAACAGATTTAATTTCCCGTAACGAGATGACATATGTAAAGGAATTTCCTTGTTTCAGGGAACATGTGCAACGATTGCATGGCCAGAGTGCCGTATGCGACTCTCATAGCGACCATTATGTGTTGCCTGGGAGTTGGAATCTTTTGCGGAACCATGTACAGAGGTGCGCTGCTGTCTTCTCTTATGATGGACCAGGTAAGCGTGACGTGAGAGCTTGATACTGTTTTTTTTTTTTTCAAAATAATTCGAAGGTTCTTCAATTAATCAAGTTATGAAATCGATTCCAGGTATTCCATCTGCATCTCGGATGGTTGGGAACGGTGCAGCTAGTGTTCGCGTCAATTGGAGCTTGCATGGCAGCCTTAGGATTCATGATTTTGTGCGTCGGTTGTCTCGCAACTGGTGCTACGAGGCACAAAGTCTACCGTGCGTGGAGATCCCGAGTCGGCGGACGTATCTCCTGTGCTGTTGTAAGTACTTAAAATCCTTGTTATTTCTTCATTTGTGAAGAAGAAATTTCTCCGATTACAAGCCATTTAAATTATCTTTAATATGTACATCTTAAATTTTTTACAGTTTATTACCATTATCTACATCCTGCAACTAGCTTGGCTTCTGATATTCGCATTCCTGGTTATTACAACGCTGATATTCACCATATTCTGGAATTTGTGCAGCAATCCACGTGTTCAGTCTCTTGACGACTGCATTGATTTTACTCAATTCGGTAAGTTTTCACACGTGCTAGTTGATTTATAAATAAACTGGGACTAGAACATGGCATTTAAAAGTCTATACATACTTTTCTTCTTCTATTTAAAAATCATAAAATGGCTAATCTATTTCAATTTATTATTTAAACCCGGTTCCACGAATGTAAGATTAACTTTAATCTCGGTTTAACTTACTGTTTATCCCTTTTTAAATCCTAGATTAGAAAAAGATAAAGTTGAATTTCAGTCAAATCGCGAATTGTGAAACCACAGGCTTCAGTATTTATATTACATTAGATGTTCGCGTTGTTGTACAAAATTTAAGAGTTGACAAAGCGAATTCACGCTGTTTTCAGGCTTCATGTTTCCAAACAACACACGGTTGGAGGACATGAAGGTGTGCGGACCCCAGGAAGTCAAACTGTTCTGCAAGGATTTCGTGGAGAAGGCCGAGGTGATGTTCATCCTGGCGACCGCGGCGAGCATGCTTGTGATTCTGAGCCTGATACACTACCTGATGTGCCTGTCCGCCAACTACGCGCACATACGGGACCACGAGAAGTTCCAGGAGCTGCAGGAGCTGCAGTACCTGCAGGACGCGGCCGATCCGGACTCCCCACAGCCGGGAATGGGCACCCTCGGCTCCCATCGCGGTAAAGACAGGTTCTAGGACACGGCCCGCGAGATCTTCACTATGAACCCCTTGTAAGGCGGCCTATCGTACACTCGAACATATCCACGCGTATAGGTCCACCCTTACGCCCGATTGGAAATCTCTTCCGGGTACCATCTCTTCCTCTTCTCTATGTACCTAAATTCGGTATTCTGCTCATCGCCGGTGTGTCCGTCGCCGTCTACGGTAGTCTACTGATTCGAGGATCTTGCGGGAACCAACTCTATGCCGTCCATTTTATATATACGACTGTAATCGTGTGTAAGCATCTACTTCCGTTTTATGTGTAAAAAAAAAAGATGTTTATCGAAGTACGTATCGGTTTGTCGTGAGATGTTTCATCTCCAACGCGGATCACTCGATCGATCAAATCGAGAATCATTCGCGGAGTTTCGGGCCTAGACCGTTAAGGTTGTATGCACGCTCACGACGAGTATTTATCATTCCCTAAACTCTTAGGAAAAGTATTTGAAGTCTATCACCCGTGCATATTCGAAATGCGCGAGGTTCCAACGCACAGAGATGTTTCTTTTTACTCGAAAGTATTGTTTTTACTTCACTTCAACGTACGCACACGCACGCTGTATTGTGCGCAATAATATTACGCGAGTGTTCACGATCTTAGATCACTTTGTCGGTCTAATCGTTCGGTATTCCAAGAGCTAATTCTCGGACTACCACGTACTGCGTTTTTAGTACTGAGATTTTTTTTTTTTTTTTACGAAAGAGATTTCTTTTTTTATATACGTATGTTTACATACTAGACTACTAAGCGTATATTTTCGTTACATTACATTTTTAAGTACGCTGGGAAAATTGGAATTATAAAAGAGAAAACTGTTAGCTAGAATATGAGACCAAAAAAGTTAAACTGACAACGACCGCATATATCGTAATTGTTATAAGACTGTTAATCGTCGAATTTTCGTTGAACATTTTCCCAGCATGCTAAGAAATATTCATGTCGTTTGTGCAATTATAGAAAAAGCTCATATTAAGCAACTTTCCGTGGAGACTAAATGTTACAGAAAAATGTAACATCGTGCATATGAAAGAATATATCTATATATTCGTAGATTCTCTATCACTTGCGTACAATATATGTGTAATAATATCAACTTGTTGTGAAAAGAGCAATATATTTTTCCGAAATAGTAGGAGAATTCCGTTATCAAATATTAAAATGAAAGGAGCGAAAGTTGTAAATTCTTCTATGCACGCGTCACTTGTGCCAAAATAGAAAAAAAATGAACTTTTGCTCTGGACAAAAATCGACTTGTTTGACAAGTTAATGTTAAGGCACAAATAAAAAAAAATATATATACGTACAATCGCGAGCTCGTTTCGCCACACACATATTATTACTTGCTCAAATGATTTGACAATGGCCGCTGATTTTCGTAATGTGTGCGATTCTTACCGGGTAAAAAAAATCTTGTCCGTCCCGCAATTTAAATTAGAGATACGATTTTTTACGATAATTCTAGATAACTTTTTATTGTACACACCTGATGAGTAAAGTTATACACATATCAAACGACGATTTATATGCAGCTGCAAAAAAGGTTGTATACAATAGAGAAGAATAAAACGGCACGCAGTATTGTATTTTCTATTAAGGAAAGAAATCCGATTTATCGCGCCGTAAGAGAGATATATACGTGCCGCGTGTCTCTCTCGCGTTCGAAAGTAACTACGACGATATATATTATATTCTATAATTAATGAATAAAAAAATATTTCCCTCTTACAAAGTATGTCTCTGTATATATATATATTTAGTAAAGTTTTCGTATTGATTAGTTTTTTCCGTAGCTTTGGTACTTGATTTTCATTTCATGTAATTTAACGGGGTAGACAAAAGGTGTATGTATGTACAGCGTCAATCGTCAATTACATGTTTTTGTACAATTCGTCGCGTAGCGCTCAGTCCTCGTCGTCGAACTGGAGGTCCAGCTCCAGGTCGAGGGCGCTGACCTCCTGGAGGGTGTTGATGAACGTGTATCGCGAAAAGATCATGTACAACTTGCGAAACCAGACGTACTGGGACTTGTGCGCAGCCATGGCACTCTGCAAGGGGAAAACAGACAAGACGTTAGGACTGGAGGGTTCGCGTTAAGCGGGACGATTGATTAACAATCTCAGGCGGAACGTTCCGAGTTATACTTTGATCGTTCGCTTCTGCTCGTACGTCACCAGATACCAGTACGAGGCCGAGAGTAGACTGACGGGCAAATCTAAGAGCTGAATGTACTTCCTGATTATATTAACGGACTCTAACACGTACAGCTTGCAGTCTGGAATTATTAAGACTTATTATTACGCGACGAGCCCCCGGGGCTATGTACATTTGTGAAATTAAACGAGCGATACTGACAAGGAGGTACTTTTTTCTCTATGCACAACGCGGCGATCGCAAAATACAAGGAGATATGATTCTTATGCCGGCTCACTCCGTACTTGTCGAACGTCACGACGGCATTGATCTGATACATTTCTATGTACTGCAAGATGCTCTCCGCCACCGTCTCCGTTGGCCACTGCACGCCCTGATCATCCGGCAGCTCGCCGCTCCTGCACATTCGTTTGTTCGACTATTATAAAGGAGATAGTTACCTTTTGCTTCATCATAGGGTAACTGTCCCTATTAGTGTGCTTTTATATTTAAATAAGTCATAAAAATAAACTATACAAATATATAGACAAAGTATTTTTTTTATTAATTTAAAGTATTAACTTAATAAAAAAATACTTTGTCTATATATTTGTATCAGTTTATTTTACCTATTAGTGTGCTTTTATATTTAAATAAGTCATAAAAATAAACTGGTACAAATATATAGACAAAGTATTTTTTTTTTTATTAAGTTAATACCTTAACTAAATAAAAAAAATACTTTGTCTATATATTTGTACCAGTTTATTTTTATGACTTTAAATATAAAAGCACACTAATAGGTACAGGGCACACTAATAGGGACAGTTACCCTATTTTCATCGCATATTTAACACCCGAATGAAACCGTCCAATCTCCACCTTGCAAAAATTAGACAAGTACATCCAGCGTTAAATATGCCATTCGAGTAAAGCGATCCTAGGATAATCTTTAAAAAGGAGAATATTTAAATTGCAAGAAATAGCGTTTTCCAAGACACACTCACATAAGGATCGTCACGTTGGCCTCTGGGATTCCCAGCACCTTGGTACATTCCCACAGCTCGTCTATCCTCCTTCTGTCCCCACCTGCAAGCACACTGGTAAACATCAATAGACACAGCGTTTTGCGTGACGTTCTAACACAGCCTGGGTTTCATTCCTGTCGGTCACTCCGGATCGTCGGCCGATCCCGAGGAGGAGGCCGACGGAGGAGGCCCGCGCCGCCGCAGACAGAGTAGGTGACATGTACCCATGGACAAGCACAGCAGGTAGATCTCGCTGGCCTTGGAGCGTGCCAGCCAGTAGACGAGCGGCCCGAAGAACATGACCTCGTCGTCGGGATGAGCGGTGACCAGGAGGAGCCGACCAGGCGGGCCCGGCAGCTGCCAGGCGGCGTGGCCCACCCGCCTGAGGATCGCGTAGAGGAAGACGCAGACGGAGAGGTATGCCAGCAGGGCGATCAGCAGCTGCCACGAGATCTCGCGGATGTAGTAGCACCACCAGCTGACCGCCTCGTTGAGCTGCAGGCTGAGGTACAGCCGCGCGTACTCCAGGTCGGCCATCGTCCCGAGGCGGGGATCAGGATGTCCGCGTGCACGGCAAACGACGCGCACGACGTTCCGACGAGGCTGGCTATCGCGGCCCCGCCATAACACGTGTCACGTGTACGTGCCGTTCACGCGGGCGAGACAGAACGTGCTCACGCGGCCGTCGTCGCCGCGGAGTGGCCGAATTTGAGGTTAGGTCGCGCCAACTGATGAGCACAGCTATAGCTCTCTGATGAACTCTGATCCTCTGATCTGATGACAAGCCCGAGCAGTCGCCCGAGTCGTCGTTTTCGGCATTTTGCAGGCGACACGAGGAGGAATTTAGGAAGAGGAAAATGGAAAAAAAAAAGAGAATAAAATAGTGAACGTAAGATATGTATAATATAAGCAACAATTTTTATGTTCACATTGTTAACAATTTACATATATGCGTTAACTTATCCCAGATAGCCGAGATAATTATCTTTATACATATTGCTATCCACATTTTTAATCTATCGTTATTTGAAAATGTGAATAGTTTTAAAATTTACATCGTACAGACGATCTATTAGTCTCTCACGTTTCTTATAAAAAAATTAGCTAATTGCAATTATCAGTGACGTCGCGCACATAATTATAGAAGACATAATTAGATGTTGATTAATACAAGAAATGAAACGTTAATTGACTCGCTCGATGATTCGAGGGTTGCGCGAAGATTAAAGTCATCGAAATAAAATTAAACGCAAAAATAAAAATTAAGTTTTGAAAAAATTCGATAATATATCGACTTGCGAGCGCAAAATTTACATCGTACAGACGATCTATTGTCTCTCATGTTTCTTATAAAAAATTAGCTAATCGCAGTTATCGGTGACTCACGCCAGAGAGAAATTAGAAATAATTGGATGTTGACCAGTACAAGAAATGAGATGTTAATTGACTCGCTCGATGATTCGAAGCGCGAAGATTAAAGTCATCGAAATAAAATTAAACGCAAAAATAAAAATTAAGTTTTGAAAAAAAAATCAATATCAATCGATAATATATCGACCTGCGAGCGCGAGCTTCGAGTTCTCGAAATCTCCTGCAGGCAGCTGATTCAGCGTTGTTGTTTGCGGATCTGTTTTAAGAACGTGTGTGTTTCTACCCCAAATTTTCCCTCGCCATACAAGTTATACGTTAATCTTTAAAAGTTTTTAAATATTTAGATAAGACTGGAAAGAGAGAAAATATTTTATAGTCCTTTTATCGGTCGTTCTATCCGTGCTGAAAACTCCTTTGGCACTGAACGGTCACGAAAAGTGTCTGTCGCCTGCCGCAGGTTATGTCATTGCGCGAGAGCTAGTCGGGGGAAAAAAAAATCGAAAATTCCAGGATGACGAACGAGCAGGTCGAGGTGGATCTGTATCGGGACACGTATGTAAGATATTTAGGTAATGGCAAGGAGATTGTCGAGCGCTGTTATCGAAAATTTCTGTCATCCTCTCCTCGACTTGCGTTTCACGAGTCTGCACGATGCCAGATCATCCATAATTGATTTTTAAAGTAATTAGTGAAAACCGGCTGATACATCATCATTTTAAAAAGGATTCTCGTATATAGACTAACAAGGTGTTGTTTTCACTTTCCAGGTTACGCGAACGAGGTCGGAGAGGCGTTCAGGAGCCTCGTACCAAAGTCCGTCGTGTGGTTCAGTTATGCCGTATCCAGCGGTTACGTTCTCGCGGACACGGTGCACAAGGGCGCGAAAGTCTACCGAGTACTGCACGAATTTCTAACTTAACGAAACCAGAAATATGTATAATCATTGACCCACTTAACTTGCGGCTTTGATCATTGCAGACAGATATCACCCCGCAGAGGACCAAGAACGTCCTGCTGTCCACGTCAGACACTTTGATTTGGCAGGCGTTCGCGTCGGTGATAATTCCCGGTTTCACCATAAACAGGATTTGCGCGGCAGTGCTGTTCGCGCAGAGAAGAAGCATAAGAGCGGCCTGGAAGAAGCCTTGGATCCCCACGCTTATCGGTCTGGTATCTATTCCTTTCATAATACATCCTATTGACCACGCCGTGGAGGGGGCGATGGATGTTACTTACAGGAAATGGACGGGATACCATCCAAAGGAGCCTCTATGCGGTATAAAACACGATTAACGATACGTAGTTAATTGATTATAGTAACCTGAGAGAGAGGTCGTGCTTGAGCAAAGATATATAATGGCTATATTGAAGAGTTTATTCTATTTTTTACACAAAATAATTAAAAGACCTTATACTATATGTGGTGGGAGGAGTACAACCATATTTTTTACAATCTCTATTACCTAAGGTCGGTTTAACGATGATCAAATTGAAATGCCTGAAAATCTTTTTTAAAATCGCAAAATGTAAATTTAAATTCCTTGTAATATGCTATACGAAATAAGGCTCGTAAAATATGAAGTAAACCGTGAAAGAATATGTAAGATATATATTAAAAGAAGTTAAGCTACAAACTCGAGCTCCGTCGAATCGTTTTAGAGAAACATTTACGCGACCTCTCCTGGTTTAGAAACGGTTCAGTATTACTGCCAAATATATTCCAAGATAGTACAACACAATGCACTTAGAATATCTTATTGCTAATCGCAAGAATGTTAAATATTTTTGTTAAAATGTACATTTTATTACAGCTACACGCTATACAATTATATTGTACAGCTGTATGTGCATTAAGATTTTTAGCTGGCTTTCATGCCGCACTTGTTAAGATGTTGAATAAAGTTATTGATTTAACATTCCCTACATTATCTAATCGTCCGACCGTATACTGATCGTCTTTGTTTTAATCATTGGCTGCGTTCAGCAGAGAAAGCAGCTTCGCAATTGTTGTGAGATTTTTCAACATGACTGATTCTTGCCCTTAATTCTTCATGAATCTAAATGTATAAACCAATCAAAGAACCAATCAAAGAATCTTACAACAGTCGCAAAGCCGCTTTTTCTGCTCAACTCAGCCATTTCGTATTTTCTACAATGTATTGAGAGATCATTTCTTTCATTTTCCTTTTCGTTATTATATTAAATAGAAACTACATGGTACATCTTCGCGTGTCTTTCGCTAAACATAAAGTTGCGAATGAACGCGACGATATACGAGGGAAGTTTATCGTCGCGATATTAGAGGAACTCAGACGCGACGTGAAGAAACGGTCTTTCGCAACTTGGGCACGGCGAAAGGCTCTACGCGGCTTCCAACGCGGCGGTTAATAACGACGCGATGTAGGGTAACACCCGTTTCATGAAAATGTATCGCGCGCGCGCAAAAAAAAAAAGAGAGGAACGATACCATACCGCGGCGGTGTTATAATTATACGCAAGCAGCGCCGATTACGAGATCATTATCTACCCGTACCACACAATTTCCCTCCGCTATCGCGGTTAAATCTGTGAGGTCTGCGATCACGATAAACGCGATTGTAATCGATGTACACTTTTTAACAGCGATTCGAGCGAGTTCCGCATTAAGACATCAATGGCACCGACTAAGTAGTGTTTTCCCTAGAGTAATTTACGATCGTAGATATAGCGTCGTGGATTTTCCGCAAGGAATAAATGACGCAAGATACATTGACACGTGTATCCATTCCGCGAAATTGAATTTCTCACACGCGCAATCGACGGAATTGGCTCTGACGGTGAGCCTTCAGATTCCTCTATATCTTCTCGCAGCCGTAAGATTTTAATGATGCTTCGAAATCATTTTTTTATCTCTTTCGTAGAATAGATTCGAACGGACGTAATTCACCGGAGTTTTCCAAATCCTTATTTTATCCGACAGAAAGACAAACGCCGATTGTTTCTCTATATTTTCTCGCAACCGTGATATTTTAATGATGCTTTGAAATCATTTTTTTATTTATTTTGTAGGATAGATTTGAACGAACGTAATTCACCGGAGTTTTCCAAATCCTTAATTTTATCCGACAGAAAGACAGACGCCGATTGTTTCTCTGTATCTTCTCGCAGCCGTGATATTTTAATGATGCTTCGAAATCATTTTTTTATTTATTTTGTAGGATAGATTTGAACGAACGTAATTCACCGGAGTTTTCCAAATCCTTATTTTATCCGACAGAAAGACAGACGCCGATTGTTTCTCTGTATCTTCTCGCAGTCGTAATATTTTAATGATTCGAAATCATTTTTTTATCTCTTTCGTAGAATAGATTTGAACGAACGTAATTCACCGAAGTTTTCCAAAGCCTTATTTATTTTCTCCGACAGAAAGATCGACGCCGATTATTTCTAAAAAAGACTATTGAATTATTTCGATGTATGATTACATGGAAGATTAGAAATCAGCAAACTGTCGCTAATCTTTCGTAAATTTTGCATGTAACGCTTGGACGAAGCGTCATTCGTGAAACATTTATCGCTTTTATTATTAGGTTGGTCAGAAAATCGAATTCATATATTTACGAATTTAAATACGAAAAGAGACTTTCTAATCGATATATTGTTTAAGTACGTAACTTTGTTTTGCAGATGATATAGTAAATGACGCGGGAAAATGACGTTTAAATCGGCAAAATAGGCTTGTATTCAAAACGCACTAACATAACGATGTTAATTAGGACGCTAACACACTTAAGTATCGCTAAAACAATATATACTTTCTATTCTTTCGTTTCTCATTTCAAATGAATAAGTTGCGATATAGTTTACATTATCTATACTATACACGGAAAGAATTTTGCTGAATCCAGATCTGAAAATAATTTTTGTTCAATAATCAAAATAATTTTGTGCGAAAGTCAGTGATTGCTAGAATATCAAAACGTTTTATAGCAATGCTCATCAGCTTTAACATTCCAACAAATTATTTTGATGATTCAACAAAAAATTATTTTCATATCTGTTTTCTATCAAAATTTTTAGACCTTTCATCAAAATCGTTCTTTCCATGTAGAATAAAAGATTTAAAAGATAAAAGCACACATTTATTATTAAAAGCGCGTTCTGAATACAGACCTCAATATATAAAATATATTTGAATCAAAGCGTTAAATAATAAAAAAACATTGGTGAAATGTTTAAATATCTTAAGTATCGCTAAAATAATATATATATATATATTCTCTGTTTTGTTTTCTCATTTCGAATGAATAAATTGCGATAATACCTGCTTCAATGAACATTCTGGGATGCGTCGATAGCGAGCTGTTGAGGAAGTTCTGTTATAATAATACGAGAAATAAAACAATCAATCGTAACAAATATAATAAAGAATAATCGTGTTTCGCGTTCGCTGGTACATACCTGTCACAATCGCAGTTCGACGAACAATAAACCGAGTAAATGATACGCGTGACCATCCGCTCGCTCGAACGTCTGCATTCAATCTGATTTCAAAATATTATCCGATGTTTTCTATTACAAAGATTACGGCTTCTTTGAATTTAAAATTGACGCGTACACCACGGCTGAACGTTTTGCGCCCGCGCGGCGTTGTGTACGTAGCGCCGTACCTGTACAGGATTACCGCGCAACCATTCGAACGCGGACGCTCGAGGGGGTGGGCCGACGGCGGCAGTCGACGGCGACGCATGTCATTTTGCGTCGCAGCTGATTGATGCCGCAAATATTATTTTTCGGACTGCGAGCCGGCCAACGTGAAATGTGATTGTTTTTTCGATTATACATTCTGCACATGAGTACATATAGGAATCGTAAGTTAGAGATTAGATGATCCACTACCGTGGGCCGACTTGTGTCGAAACTCCCTTCGAAGCTACGGTATTGTCGCGCCAAACCTATATGTCCACGATGCCAGAAATCGGTCCGAGATCTCGGACAAAGAGAGAATCGGCCAATCGTATTAAAATTCGGCCAATTGACCTACGCGATTGATCAATTCTCTTTCCGTTCGAGATCTCTGACCGATTTCTCGTAAGCATCGTGGACACAAGGCTCAATATGTCTACTCGGAATGAGAATCCGAAAGGACGAGGGAAACGGGGAAATTCTCGGATGGGATGGAGAGTCGCGCATTATGGTCTCATCGCGATATGTAATTACTTTTTTAATGCCTCGACTCGGTTATATACGAGCTGCGAACGTTCCGCCAGTATATATCGTAAGTTATCTTTTTTTATTACTTTCGAAAGCGCGGAATAATATATATATATACGAATCGGAATAAGGAGCAACGAGAAATGATACTGCGTATCGAAATTTACGATAATATTTCAATAATATATTCTCATCTCGGCGGGTTTGCAAGATAAAAGATACACGATATTGAATATGGATTGTATATACTTTTGAATTAAACCGGCATGTTTTAATTAGATTGTATCATTATTAGAACTACATTTCTACACTTAAATCTATAGTGTCAAACTGAACCTTATTTAAGCCGCTACTGCTCCTACTTAATAAATAGTTATTTTTAACTAAAACAATATATATAGTTATTTTTAAATAAAACAATGGAATTTAATTCAAATTTGGGTTATATTTGAACTGTTTTAAATTATTTAACTCCATTGTTTTAGTAAAAAAGAACTATTTATTAAGTAAGTGGCGACTTAAATAAGGTTTAGTTTGACACTATATAGATTTAACAGTGTAAACGTTACTTTCAAATTCAATTTTACTAAAAAGATATATAGTTTACGTTACGTATAATATTGTATTTTAATAAAATTTTCCTCGAAAACAACGTTTTGAAACGTATAATCTATGTATAAGTATATTATACACGGAAAGAACGATTTTGCTGGAAGGTCTAAAAATTTTGCTAAATACAGATCTGAAAATAATTCTTGTTGAATCATCAAAATAATTTTGTTGGAAAGTCAAAAATGATAAGCATTTTTAACTTTCCAACAAAATTATTTTAATATTCTAGCAATCAGTTTAACTTTTCCAATAAAATTATTTTGATTGTATAACAAAAATTATTTTCAGATCTGAATCCAGCAAAATCGTTCTTTCCATGATATATATTAATATATCTAACTGACCGCGTCATGTCGAAACTGTCGAATCATATCGCGCGCGATAGTGGAGTGAAGTTGCCGACGACGCTCTCGAATTTTTCAGTCTGACAAATGTCGCCGGTGTGGACGACTGCACGACGGATCGGCTCCGGAGGTCGCGGCGCGTCGCGTCACAACAAACACAGTCCGGATTAACTCCACATCCTGATATTCGTCGACCGCGTATAATCCAAGTAACGGGGTGATTGTATGTCGGTGACGCGCGTCGAGACACATATTTCATTCGATTCGACGTCTCTCCCGAGCCGCGCGGAGCGACGACAATGATCGCGAAACATCGCGACGTTCGTTTGTCGCGATCGCAAGCTGCGCATTTATTGAATCCCTATATATATATAATCACCCTGAAATGCAAGCATGTAACATTTGTTGTTCGAAATTCCAGAAATGCGGCGGCGCAAGGTGCCAACGAGGTCCATAGACGGGGCGGTTGGCCGCGCGAGTTTCAAATTCTCTACCACGGGCCGTCGAGACCATTCCCCGAGATTCACGTCGATTTGTAAGATGTCGCGAGTGTCTCGAATCGCGGCGCCCGTGTTTTTCTCGCGTTACTTTACAATAGACGTGCTGTGATATAATATTGCATGTAAACCGCGTTCTTTAATAACGTTTCGAGAGTATCAGTTAAGAGTTTCAATCGCGTATTCGCGAGTGTCAGAGAATCTGTGATTGCCATGGAAGAAGGGCGACAACGAGAGGGCGAGAAGGCAGGAGGAATATTTCGAGGAGGGCAT